AAAAAAAAAAAAAAAATTACAGTGTGAATGTGAAAGCACACAAAAAAGAAAGTTGCAAAAGTAAACCAAAGAAAACTACTTATGGATGAGTTTCCCTTTTGATTATGTCAGTAATAGCTGAACTGTGGGGGTTGGGTAGTATAATGATTCCATCACTTATCATTAATTTATAATTAAGCTGATTGTGAAACTAGATTTTAGTAGCCAAAACTAAATGCTAAAAACGGGTGCTGCAACTACTTGTATGTGTCCTTATTTCTCACAAAAGCAGGTAAATACTTGACTAATGGGATCTCTTCTTAATTGAGCTAGTTTCAACTTGAGGTTAAGATTACTTAAAATCAGTCAGGCGTCATAGCTCATGCCTATAATCCCAGCACTTTGGGAGGCCAAGGTGGGCAGATTCCCTGAGGTCAGGAGTTCAAGACCAACCTGGTTAAGATGGTAAAACCCATTTCTACTAAAAATACAAAAAATTAGCTGGGCATGGTGGTGCACACCTGTAATCCCAGCTATGTGGGAGGCTGAGGCAGGAGAATCGCTTGAACCCAAGAGGCGGAGGTTGCAGGGAGCCAAGATCGCGTCATTCCACTACAGCTTGGGCAACAAGAGTGAAACTCCTCTGTTTCCAGAAAAAAAAAAGATTATTTAAAATGTACCACGTTATTGATGTTATATAGAGCAGAAAGTATTTTTTGTTTAGTTGAAATGTGGTTAATCTGCAAAGCACAAATATAACTCCTAGAATTGCTTTATTCTATGTCATCAAATAATAATAACATTTTTATATCAAAGATCCCTGGACAGTATTCATTTTAAAAAGGAAAGAGCAACAGCCCATTACATTAATTTTCTCTTGCTCTCAATTGAAGCATTAAAAAAACCCTGTTATCTTATTTTTGAGTTGGTAGTTTAGAATTTCCAGAAATGCAGTGCGTTGAGTGCTTTCAGAGGAAGACCTCTGAATTAGATGCTTGCAAGAGAAACTCTAGATGAAGTGTTACGTTCTTCCGCCCAACTGCTTCTGGTGCATTCCATTTTTCCATTTCAACCACAGGCAAAGTAGAGAACTAGGTAGGGCTTGAGACTTTCTGCTTATAATATTTTAAAAGTTAATCCAAAGGCAATTTTAAAAAGATGTTGTCCGAAGTGGACCAAAACTCCAACCCACACTTTACAAAGGTCAAAATTCTAGGAGAGAGACGTGATGTAAGAATACATGAGCTGGGTCTGGCGTCAGATGGCGTAAGGTCCCTTCCAAGCTGTAGGGCTGTGGTTTGAATGAACAAGACAATCGTATCTAAACTTTCGTTTCTCTGTAATGGTACTGTACCTCTCCTAGTTGTAGAGAATTCAGCAATGTACAATGCAATGTATATCAGCATGTCCATAATTAGTATCCCTGAGAAATCTTGCTTTCCTACCCTAGACAGAATGAAAGAGACTGAGTCTGGGCCATGCCCTGTGTATGAAATAGAATTTGTGTGTTTTAAGCTGTTCTCCCAGGGCCCACCATAATAAACAGCAGGGATCCTAGCTTGACTGTGTAGGTTCTGCTGAATTATTAAATCATTCACTCCCTCAGTTTAGGATGAAAAAAACCTCAAGTATCTTTTGGCTTTAAAATTCTACACAATTCACTGGGGGAAAATCAAAAAGCCTTGCATAATTCAAAACACCAAAACGATTACTTTCCTCAGAGATGGTTTACAATGGACAGAGTGGGCTCCCTGGCGTTTCAGGCTCTGTAGTTCATAGTCGCAGTGTGGAGGCCTGGGCTAAGTCACGCTATAGCGGGCTCCCCCCACGTTTAAGAGAGCAGGTGGGGGGTGTTCCTGAAGACTTGGCCAGTGTCAGGCAGCAAGTGTTAAGGGCTGCCCCAGGGTGAAAAGATCCCAAGCTTTCGGGAAAAAGAACGTGGGGATGTAGAGGTAAATCACCTGCTAAATCTCTTTAGAGGCAGGACATCAAAGAAGGTGGGGCCTGCTCTGAGAAGCCCAGTGTGGGAATCCCAGCTGACCTGAAGGAGACACAGTTCACTGCCAAGGACTCAGCGGGAAAGCTGGGGGTTGGGGAGGACAGAGCAGGGAGGTGGATGCCAAGAAAGGGCTGAGTGGGGCTCCAGCCCTGGTGGCTCACCAAGAGAGCGGGATGGAGCTGATGAGCCCCACCAGGGAGGCGGCAATGAGGAGACGATCTGGATCTTGGCAGCCGAGATGCTGCCAAAGCTCTGGCGGCAGCGAAAGTTGCTGATGCAGAGGCTGAAGCATGGCAGGCCTGGGGAGGCGGCGAGGTGGCCCCAGGAGGCAACCAAGGCCACCCAACCCTGCAGCGGCGGCTGCTGCGTTGGGCTGCTGGGTGCCCAGCGAGGTGCAGCACAGGAACTGGCCATGCGGGGGGAGCACAGTGGCACAAGAGAAGATTGCAGAGGCCGGAGGGGAGATGGAGGAAGGGGCTGAAGCCGAGTGCAGTAGGAGTAGGTGGCCTGCGCCCTCACTCTGGTGGGAACTTCAGGTACACTTTCCGGGCCTAGAAGTTCCCTGGGAGAAAATGATCGCAGTTAGACAGGTAGCCTTCCCAACCTCACCAAAGCTTCCCCTCTCTTCAAAGCTGCAAGGCTCTGCCAACGTATGCTGGGAGATGCTGCAGTCCCTGTGCCTCCCTCCCTCCCTCTCTTCCTACCAGGAGCCCAGGCACTGCCAACTAACTCTTTTTGTGGTGAGAGGATGGATATTTTTGTTACTTCCACGTCCAAGCCTGGCACCCACCCATCCATCCACCCACCATGTCCACTGCGCTCGCCCAAGTCTAATCCAGGGGCACACGCGCTCGCACACACAGACGCACTCCTCTTCCTTTCTCAGGAGCTCCTAAAGCTCTCGAAAGCACCTGCTTTCTCTTCCAGAGCCCAGATATTGCGGCATGTGGGCCCAAGGTGCAAGATAGAGCCTACTCAGGGCGACAGGCAGAGTTGGGGAAGGGGTCTCTGGTCTCCGTGTTGGCCCCCCTGGCAGCCGAGTTCAGGGGTGGCTACGCGGATGCCCGGGAAAGCACTGAGGCTTCCCAGGATGTCCTCCCGAGGCTCCATTCTGCACCTGTGAGCACTGAAAACCTCGGGAGCCTCCCGCTTGGCGCCGAGGGCCCCCGCTCAGCCCAGCCCCGCCCCCAGCCTGGCCGCTGGCCACTACGCGGGTCCAGCAGACCTGCCTGGGGTCCCAGCGAGGATGCGCTCTGCCTCTTCCAGTACCGCCCTGGGCGCCTGGATCCCGTGCGCTTCGCCTCCGCCTCCCGGGGACACTGGAAAGGCGAGAGCAGAGCTTCCAACTCCGCAGCCAGAGAGGAAGATGAACAGCCCCAGGCCAGAGCCTCAGGCCCAGGAGACCCTGAGCCGCCCGCAGGGAGCCAGGAGCTTTCTCAGAGGCAGCCGCCAACTCCCGTAGCTGCCGGTGCAGCCCGCGCCTGGGACTGAGGGTGGCCATAGCCAGGATCCAGGCTTCGTGCCACCTGCGCGTGCTGCGCACACCTGGACGCTGTCCCCCCGCGGCGAACACCAGCGGGCACTGTAAAGCTAGGACTCCTCTTCGAAGGAAGGGAAAACAAATCGGACTTGTAACCCAGCACTGTTCTTTACAGACCCATCCCACTGTCCTTCTTGTTTCCCAAGTTTATGAATACTGGCCACTCTGACCTGAGATCCCCAAATCGCCAGCCACTGAGACCTGGCTCTCAGAAACCAAAGGCCTGGCACTTTCCAGACTGAGCAGGAGGAGGTGAAAGCAGGCTGGAGGCTGGCCCAGGACAGCTGAGGGCCGACCCTGGGATGTCTCTGGGTGGCCACCGCTGGGGCTGCTACAGGGGACATGGGGTTTGGGTCATTAGGTGGAGGGCATGGAGATGGGGCACTTGCCAGGGGACCCAAGGAGGAAAGAGAGCGCTCTCCAAATTGTCTTCCAGGGTTTCAATAGGTATTTTATTGACTCAGAATCTGTCGGGAATAATACTAGGGAGCTACCTTTCCCTGGAAATGGGTCTCGTCAGTGGAGTGAGTTAGGCTGCGGTGAGGAACAGAAACGGGAGACTCAGTTTATAAATATTAAGGTCAGCAAGAGTGTGCGGCTGGCAGGAGTACAGAGAGCCTGGAAATTTGGGTGTCCGCTGTTTGTAATTGGTTGCAATCCAGAGAGTGGGATTGAGTTCCTCCCTTGTCATATTAGCATTGTTTCCTGGGCTCAGGTCTAACACCCTGCAGGTGGTCAGTCATGGCGGCTTTGTCTCTCTTCTGGAATCCCCTGACCCAGCTTCACAATCGAGAACTCCGCACCACCAGCCACCGTCATGTCCACTCCCTCCAGGTCAATGTGTCCCTCCTGGAGCCCAATCTGCTGAACAGCCTGGGGCCATCCACTTTCCGGGTGTTGGGCAATCTGGTGGCCATTGTGATGCTGGGCAAGTCGCGAAAGGAGCAGAAGGAGACCACCTTCTACACGCTGGCATGTGGCTGGTAATCACAACCTGTTGGTCACTTTGCTGGTGAGCCAGATGACCATCGCCATGTACATGAAGTGTGGGTAACCCGGGGGTCAGCAGCTGTGCCAGTACAGCATCTTCATCCAGCTCTTCTTCATCCTGTCTGGTCTCAGCATCGCCTGTGCCCTGAGAGTGTGGTGCTGCCTGGCCACCAACCACACCTCCTTCAACAGCCATGACATGCACCAGCGGTTGGCGGCTACACTGTGCAGTCTTTGTGCCCAGCTTGCTCTTCTGCGCGCTACCCACATGGACTCCCCTAGCTCGCAACTGCAGTACCCGGACACCCAGTGCTTCATCACTGACATCTGCTGCCTACTCTTCCTGCACTTGACTTCAGCCCCTTCCGCAATCTCCGCTCTGGCCTCTGCAAGCTGCTCCTGTGCCGTTCTGCTCCGCCCGAACTGCCAGTTCAAGTGCAGCACCTCGCTGGGCACCCAGCAGCACCACGAAGCCTCCACCGCTGCAGCACTGGGCGGCCTTAGTCATCTTCCGGGGCCACCTCACCACCTCCCCAGCCCTGCCATACCTCAGCCTCAGCATCAGCGACTTTGGCTGCCACCAGAGCTTTGGCAGCATTTCTGGTGCCAAGGTGCAGATGGTCTCCTCCCCATTGCCACCTCCCTGGCTGTGTTCATCTGTTATCCCGCTCTCTTGGTGAGTGACCCGGGCTGGGGCCCCACTCAGCCCTTTCTGGGCATCCACCTCCTCCTCTGTCTTTTGCCCCAGCTTTCCCGCTGAGTCCTTGGCAGTGACTCTGTCTCCTTCAGCTCAGCTGGGGTTCCCACACTGGGCTTCTCAGAGCAGCCTCCACCCTCTTTGAAGTCCTGACTGTGGAGGAAAAGTTAAATATTAACTTTAAACTCCATTGAACATGAACACAAACAATGGTAACCAAGTCCTGGAGGGAGCTGTATGAGCCCCTTGAGGCATTCATCCAGCGCTGTTTAGGAGAAATCTCTCTTTCAATCTATTCCTATACATTACTTGTTGAAAAACAATGGACAATCGCAAAAACAAGTTGACCTTTTTGTGTTCCTTGAGCCCAGTCATGGCCAGCCGTCCCGACTCAATCTCATGCCAAACAACTTGTTATAAAAAGAGCTGGGCTCCCAGTCTGCGCCGAAGTTTCACGAGGTCTCTCCTCATCTGTGCACTGACTGGTGGCGGACTCTGGAGCCCAGGCTGCTGCTTCCCAGTCTCATGGTGAATCCTCCATAGTCTGCTGAGTGCGGTGTTCAACCCTGGACACAGGCTGCTGCTTCCCAGTCTCATGGCGAATCCTCCACAGTCTGGTGAGTGCAAGCATCTTTTCCCTTCTCCCATTCCCACTGCAATTTGCTTATTACATCAATCTGCTTATTACATCATGTTCTTATTATGTCATTTGCTTATTATATCTGCATTGCCATTTACATGGATTAAAGGTTGTTTACCCTTAAAGATACTGTGCATGTGTCTTTTCTTCTCCCCTCATGTGTTTCCTGCACAGAACACTGACCCTACAGACATTTAGCTGGTGCTTTGTCCCTACATTCCCAAGTTTGTTTTCCCGAAAGCTTGGGTTCCTTTCAATCCCAGGACGTCTTACCCCTTGCTGCCTGACGCTGGCCAAGTCTTCAGAAACACCCTCACCCACTCTCTTTGACGTGGAGGGAGCCCGTTGCAGTGTGACTTAGTCCAGGACTCCACACTGCGACTATGAACTGCAGAGCCTGAAACTCCAGGGATGGTGATCTGTCTGTTGTAAACCATCTCTAAGGAAAGAAATGTTCTTGGTGTTTTGAATTATGCAAGGCTTTGGATCCACCGCCGCCCCCCACCATGAACTGTGTAGAATTTTAAAGCTAATAAAGATATCAGAGGTTTTTTAGTGTAAACTCCGGCACTTCACTGAGGGAGTAAATGTTTTGCTTAAAATAATCCAGCAGAACCTACACAGTCAAGCTAGGATCCCTGCTTTTTACCATGGTGGGCCCTGGGAGAACAACTTAAAACACATGAATTATTATATATATATATATATATATATAT